TTGTACGCCTTTTGGCGTCATCTGGTCCAACACCAATGGAGACTAGGCTCTAAAAAAAGCTGTCTCGAATATAGACCAATCAACTTCAAAGACAGTTCATATCATTATCATCATCAGAGTTGTTACTTTTTGTTTGCATTTTGACTGCTTGTGTTGTGGTTATTGCAAACATGATGCCTTGTATAAAGGTGTCAATTTTGTGTACCAGTTGAAAGGGTAAAAACCTACTACTATATTTTGCCACTGGTTAAGGAGGTGTCTCATTTAGTTTTAGTGTCGCTTATATAATACCGCCTTTGTCGACAACGTGCACCCAATTAGAGCCCCCCCCCCACCCCCCAGATATAAAAATAAGCGCGTCTGCCGAGTGACGCGTCTTTACTATAAAAGTGGAGTGGGGTGAGGGGCACGCGCCTGTATACCGATTACCGTGCTGATAAAATGAATGACAACATTCATCACTTGTCAAATCGACCCAGAATCTCCTCGTCGCCTCCGCTGTACAATTCGGTCTGGATTCATCTCGATTTGAAGCTTTCGCGACTGCGGGGATCCACACTCTTTGGTTCTTTCGGTAAAGTCACGTAGTGGGTAGAAAAATGAAATAAATAACGACGTTTCGGGCGCAACACAAGCAATTATCAGGTGGGAAAACCACAGCAAAAACGTCGTGGTTTATTGTATTTTATATCTACGTGATTTTACCGAAAGAATCAAAGAGTAAGAAAATTCGGTCCGGAGTTTAACGAAAGCCCCCCCCCCCCCCGCTTCTTTTAACATGGGGGGTCTAATTCAATCACGTGGCCCTCAAAGTGCACCTAGCCTGGCACAGGCGCCGTGGTGACTGTGCCCGTCACTGCGTGGTGCCTGTCGGCTTTCCGGGTATTGGCTAAACACGACGCTGGGGCAATTGAAGAGGCGCTGGGTGGAAATTCAATTCGTGGCCGTGTCCACGACGCAATTGCATTTGTTTGCAGTGCCGTGATGAATTGAAGGCGCTCGTTCTGTCCTCAATTTCAAACGTCAATAACTCCTCCCCCTCCTCCTAGCCACCGCCACCACCACATCCTCCTCCTCCTCCTCCTCCACCACCACCACCTCCTCCTCCTCCTCCACCACCACCTCCTAGCCACCAGCACCACATCCTCCTCCTCCACCACCACCAGCTCCTCCTCCTCCTAGCCACGACCACCACCACCTCCTCCTCCTAGCTACCGCCGCCACCACCACTACCACCTCCTCCTCCTGGATTCCCGAGTCCTCGCTGCCTCCACACGTGGTCATGTTGTTGTGTGGCCTTGTGGTGTTGCTGTGTTGTTGTGGTGGTGTTGTGGTGGTGTTGTGGTGTTGCTGTTGTTGTGTTGTGGTGGTGTCGTGTTGTGGCCTTGCTGTTGTTGTGTCGTGTGGTGGTGTCGTTTTGCCGCGTCGTCATGGGGAGTGGTGGCGCAGCGGTTAGTGCTACGCTGCGCTACGAACCCGGCTACCCGAGTTCGATTCCCGCTCACGGCCACCAACACCGGTGACGAATATCCGGTCATGGGGCCTCCCCTAGGTCGACTCAGCTACAAATGAGTACCTGGTGCGGTGTGTAGTAAGGCATGGTGCTGGCCACCCACCCCCTCGTGTGCCGCGCCGGCCTTCATAGCTGCTACTCGCTAACAGCACTTGCCCCAACAGTCTGTTAAGGCTACACGGGGGATCTTTGTCTTTGTCCCACTAAGGTGGTTGTTTCACGATTCAGTGAGTGGAGGCGTTCCACAAAGATAAGAGGACGATGTGACGGTGTTACTGTGTTGGACTCTACCCCAGTGCAGCGCTAACCACGACACTCCCCACCCACACAATCACTCGTTCACCTCGGCTGACTGTGTGACACGTGTCCGGGGTTGGGATCTGTGGAACATGTTGGGACCCCTATTCACAGACCCTACCCACACCCCCACCACAGCCCCCCGTCCCCCGCCTGGGGGGGACCTTGTTGATGGACAGCATCTGTAAGGGGGGTGGGGGGGGCTCCGTCACCGCATTAGCGAGCCGCGTGAGAAGGCAGATGCCGCTCGCGGTGGCAGCGGGCGGGTGATTTGATTGAGCGAGGTAATTGTGATTGGGTGGGTGGGGTGGAATAACTGGGCAGGTAAGTGGGCGACTGGGTGGTTGGTTGGCTGGGCGGGTAGGTGGGTGGACGTTTGGGTTGATTGCATGGTCGAGCGGTTGCGTGGTCGAGCGGGTTGGGTGGGTGAGCGGGTGGTTAAGTAATGCCGGCGGTCCGGAGTGAGAAGGAAAACCAGGTCTGGATTCCTGCAAATATTCTCTCAGACATTTGCGCGGCGGCGAACACCGATGAGCCGAGTCCCACTCGGGACAGACCGCCGCGGATGAACCGGTGGAATGGAAACGCACGCGGCACACTCCGTCAAGTATACGGCCCCCTCCGTCAAGTATACGGCCCCTTCGCCGTGGGATGGTATGTAAGCCCCCTCGTCTGTGTGCGAGTCTGTGGGGCTCGGTGTGTGAATCTGTGGCTCTCCGTTTTGAGTCTGTAAGTCTACAGAGCTTTGTGAGTCTGTGAGTCTCTGTGCGATTCTATTGGGTCTCTGCGCGAATCTGATTATCCGTGCGAGTCACCGGACCTCTTCGTGTGGGTGAGTCTATGAGTCTAATGGGTGTCTCTGCAAGTCGATGGATCTGTGGGAGTCTATGGGTCACTGTGTAATCATATGGATCTGTGCGAGTGTGTGAGTCTATGGGTGTGTGCGATTCTATGGGTCTCCGCATGAATCTTACGATTATCTGTGCTGTGGTTTCACGCTTCAACACACCGGTGGGCTAAAGCAGTGAACTATTTGTCTTTTGTCAACGTGACACTTTTTTACTGATTGGCCGTGTCGGGTGGTGGAGGGTTACGACACATTTATAAATAACGCGATCTAAACCCAAAAACGTTGATTATGAATAATATTGGTCGCGAAAGCCTACACGTGTTAAACTATCCGTGCGAGTCTGGATCTCTCCGTGTGGGTGAGTCTATGGGTCTCTGTGCGAGTGATTAATGATCCACGTGAGTCCGAGTAGAAACTCGCCCACACACAGGCGCCCCTGACGTTCAAGCCCCACTTAGAGCCACCGCCACACAGCAGCCGTGCTGCATGGCGGAACCAAAATCATTGTCAGGCTCGCGAGCTCCTCCGTGAATCCTGGAAAGGGTAATAGTTCACGGGGCCATCGAAGATTTTGCACGGGCAATTCTTTTTTTTGGTTTTATATATATTTGTTTGGGGGGGGGGGAGCGGTAGGGGGGGGGGGGTCCACGTAGCGACGGGAGCGAGTTGCTCGTCAGCCGGGCTTTGATTGAGGTCGCAAAGTTACCTTCCCTCGCCGAGGCCGGTGACCTCAATCGCACAGCGAACCCCGCCGGCGAAATCTCGACGCGGTTTTTCATTTCTTTATTTTCCGGTAGACGGTCGGCGAGAGAGGGAGAGACGGAGAGCCCCCGCTGAAAGTTGCACGCGGCACAAAGCCTAGACGCCACTGCGGTGTTCTTATTCTTAGGTTTTTTCGGTAAAGTCACGTAGGTAAAAAATTTAAATTAATAAAAAATAAAATAAAAATCACGACGTTTCGGAGGCAACACAAGCTTCCGTCTTCAGGTGGAACCGTCACAGCACGATAGCTGTATCAAGTGTGTTGCCTCCGAAACGTCGTGATTTTTATTTTACTTTTATTAATTTAAAATTTTTACCTACGTGACTTTACCAAAAAAACCTAAGAATATGAATCCTTGCAGTCACGAAAGCTTCAAATCTAGAATGCAGTGTTCTTCACTAATTTCCAGAGAGAAGGTGGAACCACTTTCGCCGATAAGACATCACCAGTGTGAGGGCCGCCACGCATTCGAAACCTTTGGGGGTTTGACAGCAGCACGATGATGATGGGGGGAGGGGGAGGTGTTCTCACGTGTTGTTGTGGGGGTTCTCACACTCCAGGCTTGGTGACCCAATCGCCACCACCACCACGCGCCCTCTTTCCGCCTTCTCCAATTGTCTCCTGCCCCATTCAAACACTAATGAACTTGTTCCACGCTGCTTCACGCGCCGCCAGATGATTCTTAAACGCACGTCCCACACAACGCGGTAAGCAATTAACGATGTCTGCGTTAGACGAGCCGATCATCCACGTTAAAGGCCGAGGTCTCGGTGAACGTGTGCGTGTGTACACACATGTTCCAACGTGTGTGTGTGTACGAGTCATACTCGTGTGTACGAGTCATACTCGTGTGTGTACACACGTGTTCCATGCATGTGTGCGTGTACCACGTGTGTGTGCGTGTACACATGTTCCACGTGTGTGCGTGTACGCACACGCGTTCCACTCGTGTGCGTACACGCACGGCGACAACGAGCGGCGGGGAGGGTTAGCGTCACAGTCGGTCTCTGGCGGATTCTCAGCGCTCCACGTCGCACCATGAACCGCAAACAAAGCGCCCTCACAAATTAACCGCCTGCACAGTCCATGGGTGACGGCAGATACCGCTAAAACCGAAGGGAGCAAAACCCTCGGGGGTAGGGGCCAACACCACACCCGGCCGCCTTTGTCTCCTCAGTGGCGATGTTTACACACCGAATCGGGTACTCATTTGAGGTGGAGTCGACCTAGGGGAGGCCCAGGACCGATTCAAATAATCGTCAAGCGGTGTTTGCCGCGAGCGGGAATGGAACCCGGTTCGCCGGATTCGTGGCGCGGCGCGCTAACCGCTACACCACCGCTCCCCACAGTTCAAAACGCAGTACGTACATACACACACGCTCAGCGTTATTGACAGACGCACCGATTTTCGAATTTCTCGATGGGACGCTGACGTGTACACGTGGTTATGAATTGCTGGGTGAGGGAGGATGGCGTGCACGACTCGGTACGTACGTCCCACGTGTCGTCAACGCATCCTCGTCTGGATTTTGCGGAGGGAACAAGGCTCAAAGACTCGCGGGATCTAAGCGAACGCTTTTTATTACAAAATAGATTCAGTAAAAATCGTCATATTACCTTCAATACCTGAAATCATCATCAAAACACAAGTGATTTGGTGGGGCAGTGGTGTGCATGTACACGCACGAAAACAAACTCCAGCACATTTACGATGCCATCTAGAAGGGCCCGTTGCTTGAAACGTCACCTGTAATATAACCTGTTGTTATTTTGATACGATTATTTTTTATTTAACAAGTTTTTTATTTTACCAGGTAAGGTCCACGGAGCTACATAGCTCTTTCTCAGAAGTGACCTGGCCACAAACGTGTGTATGTTGAACTTATTTCGCACCGAACGTCGCTAGCCGTGCTAATAGGAAGTGCCTGAGGACAACAAACTAAACGCAAAAATCTGTTTTAAATAAATTATCTTGTCAATATTGATCATTTTAAAAGTGCACAGCTCTGGTGGCTTCCTAATATCGGAAGGAAGAGCATTCCAGACGGCCGCAGAGGGACATCCAAACGCGTGCGAAGCGGTGACCCGTCTTGGTTCAAATGGCAGCCAAAAGCTGCTGCGAGGATGACCGGCGTTCGCGTGATGGTCTGTGTTGATAGCTCAACGAAGTGGCTTATCACGTGGACATTTATCGCAGCCGAATACACGCTGATTCTAAATGTGGAGGGAAAAAACGGGAGATACACCAAAATTCCCAATATACAGGTGTCATCAGGGTCGGGGTCGAACCCACGACCTCCTGCATACCAGCCGAGGTAATTAACATGTCTCCACACACAGAGGCCGCTGAAACACCACAGAGTTGTTGTTTGACGAATGTTGAGAGTTTTCATCGTTTACGAAACCATCGTTTCGTGGCAGCCCACCACCGCAGCGGCCATTGCGAGGCCTCCTTGCGGCCCTCCTTGTGGCTCACCTCTTGGTGACCCAAGTGAACGAGTTGCAGCGAGCCTCCTTGTTCGTCGCGTGGCCCTCAGGACGAGGGCACACGTAGAAGCGGCGCCCGAAATTCTGCCCGGGTTTCTTCACCGTCCTCAGCAGGCACGGCTCGCCGTGGCCCCTGCACGGCGGCGCCGGGGGCAGCCCCTTCAGCACCGACTTCCAAAAATCCGTACCGAGATTCCTCTGCCGCGGCCGGCGGTCGTCGGTCGCGGGGTCGGTGGCGGGGTCAGTGGCGGGGTCAGTGGCGCGGCCGACACTGTCCAGCTCCACGCCCCCCATGCCCCCCGTATCTCCCGCGCCCCCTGCGTCCTCCGCCCACCCCGCGGCCATCGCGGCTCCCTCGGGGGACGTGCCGGAATCCTTGTCGCGACAGGGGACCGGGCCCGCGCACGCGCCGCCGGCCGGAATCGCCGGGTGGAGACGCGCGCCGCCCGCCGGGCGCTTGAGAAAGCTCAGCAGGGTCCCCCTGGCCGGCACGTCGGCCGCCTTGTCGGCCCCCTTCGCCCTCTTGGCCTTTGTGCCGTGCGACTCGCGTGCCGCGCGCTTCACCTTGCCCGCGGCGGCCGCAGGGGTCGCTTTGCCGGCAACGTTCGCGGCACGGTCGACGCGCCGCTCCGACGGGCGGGCCTCGGGTTCGCCGCCGCGGTCAGCCGGCGTCTTCACCAGGAACGCCGAGAGCTTGCGCTGGCGCCCGGCGAACTCGGGCATGAGGTGCGCGCACAGCGGGGGTCGGCGCGGCGCCGGCACGAAGTCGAGCGCCAGCGCGGCGCGCACGGGGCAGTGGTCCGAGCCGAGCACGTCGGGCGCGATGTCGCAGGCCGAGAGGACGCGGGAGGCGGCCAGGGCGCCGTCGGCGAGGACGTAGTCGATGCGCGTGCCGTAGTTGGTGACGCGAGCGCCGGTGACGTTGCACCAGCAGGTGAACGCGTCGGCGCGCGTCGGATGGAAGAGGCGGAAGGCGTCGACGAACCGGGGGCCGGCGGCATCGGGCCACGACGCGCTGACGTCGTCGCTGTTGCGGCTGTCGTCGTCGTGGTCGGTGGGCCGAGGAGGAGGTCTCGCAGAGGGACTGGATTCACAGAGGAACTGGTCCAGCCACTTTCTGCCAGGGTGTTCTTGAAACAGCTCCTGCGGGGAGAATGAATGGTGGGTTATCATTAGTTGTGGTGCAGGCCCATATGATGGTGGTGATTATGGAACATGACGATGCTATTGATGACGATGGTGACAATGCCGAGAATACTTCTTATGACGATGACGGTGACGGTGAGGCTATTAATGCTTCTGATGATGACGATGATGATGGCAGCGGTGATGATGAAGATGATGCCGATTGGTAACGATGGTGGGGCGATGCCCCAATCACTCACGGGATCCTCTGGGTCGCAGTGGTCTATGGGTCTGTGTGCCGTGTTCAGGTCTCCGACCACAATCACGTGGCTGCAAGGGAGGGGGCGGAGAGGACACCGGAGAGACACAGAGATGCCAACGTGACCGGGGTCAGAGCAGCAGCAGAACCCAACGGCACGCAACTTACAGAGCCTGTCCAGATCCCTACCCACACCAAAATCATCGGCCAATATTAACATTTTTATTTTATTTTACCACGTAAGACCCACTCAGAAGCGACCTGGCCACAAACGATAGCTCAACGAGGTGGCTCGTCATCGCGTGGAAATTTATAGCAGCCAAATACTCTAAAGGCACGTAGATTCTAAATGTGGAGGCAAAACCGGAGGACCTGGAGAAAAACTAAACAAATAACGTTATCGGTACCGAGCAGAGGTCGCAACCGGGTACCCGATACCCGTACCCTACCCGATACCCGGCTACCCGGCCGGGTACGGGTACAGGTACCCGTTTGCGACCCTGGTGCGGCCAGGTACGGGTAGGCCGTGAGTCACTGGTGAGTAACTGTTTGTCACTCATTTCCCAACGTCTTGTCTATTCTCACAATTCAAGTTCCTAGAATCAACCCACCCGCGCCTGCAACATGGCTTCATCCCAGAGGTCGCAATCGGGTACCCGATACCTGTACCCTACCCGTACCCGGCCGGGTAGGGTACGGGTACAGGTACCCGTTTGCAACCCTGGTGCGGCTGGGTACGGGTAAGGAATCAAAACCTGTTTGAGACCTCTGATACCGATGCTCCCACCAAGTCCATGCGGGAGGGGCGCATGGCACAGTTTGGCTCCGCTAATTATAGAGTGCCGTGGTCGTGTCGCCACAGTTCTCTGCGGTGAGTGCAATGTCTTTAAAAACAACGGTGCTACGGCCCTCTAAATAAAATGAAAGCTGAACCCGCTCCGAGATTCAGCGGTGAATGGGACACCCGCCCTGCGACTTGCAGACATCTCGGAAAGGGTTAAGGATATTTACGGTCGTAATTTTTAGCCTTCAGTCTTCATCTCTGTGCTGTTAAACTACTCTGTGGGCACGAGTAACTGTCCAGTGCGGGGAAGATTATTTAGAAAAAGTTTTGAGCGTTGTGAATGGATTAAAATGTGCTATTTCATTTCTTTGTTGTGTGTGTGTTTGATGGATGGATCGTATAAAGCAAGACATGAAGACGGTCAACGCATCCCCTGAAGATGCCCTGGACCGAGCCAAATGGAGAAGACAATGCCGAAAAGCGGACCCTGCGCCACAGCGGGAACAACGCTAGGAAGAAGAAGAGTTGTGTGTGTGTTTGAAATATATAACAATCGTTAATTTTGAAAAAATTACTTGCGTGTCGTTTCAATAAACAGTAGCGTCGTCACCATCATACCAACATCATTATCATCATCAATCAGCTGATCGTGTTTAAACCCTCTAGTGGCAATAAAAACAATGGAACTGAGAACACATTAAATCAGTATTCACTCTCCATCGCACCTACAAATACACAAACGCGTACCAGCCCCTATTTTTTTTTTAAGCGTCAATGAAACGTCCCCAGACACCCACACACAAAAAGAATATCTCAACACACGCGCAAGGGGAGGTCAAAGGGTTTAGAATCTGTATTTAGGCTGGAGGAGGAAATCCGATGAGCGCTGAAGCTCTTCTTCTTGGTTCTTTCGGTAAAGTCGCCACGTAGAAGGGAAATAATAAAATAATAAAAATAAAACATAATACAATACAATTCTCACGACGTTTCGGCCACAACACAAGCAGCCGTCCTCAGGTGAAGAACAGGTCTGTCGGAAAGACAGCGTCATTCAGACGTCATTCAGACGCTGTCTTTCCGACAGACCTGTTCTTCACCTGAGGACGGCTGCTTGCGTTGTGGCTGAAACGTCATGAGAATTATTTTATTATGTTTTATTTTTATTATTTTATTATTTCCATTCTACGTGACTTTACCGAAAGAACCAAGAAGATAGTTAAATTGTCCACAGTTGTATCTTATTGAGTGACTGTGTGTTGTTGCCAACTCGCACAGAGTGGCCTCTGTGCGAGTTGGCCGGTGTCTGTGTTGAGTCTGTGTGTGCCCGTGCGAGCCTATGGGTCTCCGTGCGAGTCCGTGCCTCTCCGTGTGAATCTACACGTCTCTGCGTGAGCCCATGGGTCTCTGCGCGAGTCTACGGATCTCCGCGTGAGTCTCAGAGCGGATGGCGCGATGAGGCTGTCAGCGCAGAACCTTTGAGGTCGCCCCGCGTCTCCCTGTGCAACCAGCTGCGGGATCTGTATCTCGATCCGTCTTTGATCACGAACTTCAATACGGGAGGGGGCCCTCGGTTGAAAACCGTGTGGCTCGGCGAAATTCAGGCATCACAGCTATGAGCCGCTGTGTTTCTGTCCTGGCTGAGGGGTGTGTTTTATAACGCCTCACTCACACAGCAGTCAAGCGTCGTACAAATTCATGCAGCAGCTCGAGGCGCTCACCTGGTTCAGGCTCTCACCTGATTCAGGCTCTCACCTGGTTCAGGCTCTCACCTGGTTCAGGCTCTCACCTGTTCAGGCTCTCACCTGGTTCAGGCTCTCACCTGTTCAGGCTCTCACCTGGTTCAGGCTCTCACCTGGTTCAGGCTATCACCTGGTTCAGGCTGTCACCTGGTTCAGGCTCTCACGTGGTTCAGGCCCTCACCTGGTTCAGGCTCTCACCTGTTCAGGCCCTCACCTGTTCAGGCCATCACCTGGTTCAGGCTCTCACCTGTTCAGGCCATCACCTGTTCAGACTAGTATTAGAGAAACCCTGAGCTCTCCGGCTTCACGACTCCAGAGTCGTCGATCAAAGGTTGCGCCCGTTTCTCGAACACGCGCGCTCGATAGACATATAAATAAACGTCCGTCGCCTGCCGGTCCAACTTCCCCCCCCCCCTGTACGCAAACGAAAACTTCCACGACTTTGCAAGAAGCGCATTGCGCCGCGGTGACGTAGCAGCCGGTGCCGCGGAGGGGGTTAAAGCAGGCCGCAGAGAACGGCGGGGGGGGGGGGGCCGCGGCTAATCCGTCATTATCGCCGCCACGGCACGCGAGCAGCAGCAGACCCCCCGGGGGGCCCCCCGTCGCTAAATATTTAATTTTGGCGAAGGCACAAACGTACAATTAGCATTTCACTTAATGCGCCGTGAAATAATTAAGAGCGGCCGCCTGCATGGTAATCTCGCGCGGTGCATGAATAAGTAAATAAATATATGAGATAAAAACACGCGCGGATAATCAGAGCGACGGCAACGCCTCGGTGCACGTCGGGGTTGGAGAGCCGGCCCACGACTTTAGTGGAACCCCCAGGCCGTCCTGAGCATCGCAGCCTCTCAAATAAATGCAGAGCGCGATCCATTTGTAGACGACCCACTGATGCAACGAATGGGGGGACAATTCATCCTCGCTAACCAGGCCCAGGAGTTTCGTCTCGTCCACGCCACGCACCGTGGCCAACGGCTACGCTGCAGGTCACCAAGTCACACAATCGCTCGCTGGCCCATCGACTAACCAGCTCACTCACCCACCCACCCACCCGTCCACTCACCAACCTTCTGATCCAGCCAGTCAACCACTCACTAACCCACTGGATAGATGTTGAACTTCTTTTGAACCTACATCGCCGACCGTGCTAATTGGAGGTGTGGGGGAAGGACAACAAACTAAACACAAAAAGCAGTTCTCAAGAATTTATTATTTTGTCAAACGTTGCGTAGCTCCAGTGGGTTCCAAATCCCAGAAGGAAGAGCGTTCCAGACGGCCCCAGAAGTGCATCTGAGAGCGAACGATGCGGTGACCGTCTTTGATCGATGTTCAACAACCTTCTGACCCACCCACAGCACTCACCCACTCACCAACCTTCTGACCCACCCACTGCACTCACCAACCTACTGTCCCACTCACTCTCCACTTAATCCCCACTCACCCACTCTCCGACTCTCCCACTCACCCACTCACTCAAAACTGCAGGTCAATCCTCTCTCTCTGCTTCTTCCCTCACACTGCTTGCACTTGTGGATCGTTTAGCCCTTGCCTGGCGCACTTTGCCCAACACGGCCGCTGCGAGTCGCTCGCAACATTCGACGGTGCGCAAGCCGCGGTCAGTGACATCTCGCGCTTTTGTCACGTGCAAAGACAAAGATCTCCCCCCCCCCCGTGCAGCCTTTAACAGACTGCTGGGGCCGTTAGCGAGCAGCAGCACCTACGAAGGCCGGCACGGCACACGACGGGGTGGGTGGCCAGCACCACGCCCGGCCGCCTTTGTCTCCCCAGTGGCAATGTTTACACAACGCACCAGGTACTCATTTGTGGCTGAGTTGATCTAGAGAAGGCCCAGGACCGGTTCAGATAATCGTCACCGGTGTTGGTGGCCGTGAGCGCGAATTAAACTCGTTTCTGAAAATAAGCTTTAGAAATCAATGGACCTTATCTGGTAAAATAAAAATAATGTAGTTTTATCGTTTATAGTTTTATAGTGTATAGTTTTATCGTTGATAGTTTGCACATTCCCTCCACCCTGCGATGTCCTGTAAATGCTGCCACTGCCAACGGTTTTGGGCTGGTGGTCACGATTGTCTACGTAACTCTATGGCTCTCTATGTGACTCTATGGGTCTCTACGTAACTCTATGGATCTCTATGTGACTCTATGGATCTCTATGTGACTCTATGGATCTCTATGTGACTATGGGTCTCTATGTAACTCTATGGGTCTCTATGTAACTCTATGGGTCTCTATGTGACTCTATGGATCTCTATATGACTCTATGGCTCTCTATGTAACTCTTCGGCTCTCTATGTGACTCTATGGATCTCTATGCAACTGTACGGATCTCTATGTAACTCTTTGTAACTGCAATGTCCTGTGAGTGGGTGAGTGTGCTGCTGTGATCTGCGGTGTGGTGGTGGTGGTTGAACAAAGTGGGGCATGAGATCAAACAGTCAGGCTGGAAGACCGAGTCCCACATCACGGGCGGAGGAATCAACGAGAGAATCCGAAACAGAATCTGTATCCTGGAGAAATCCGATGAGCTACGAATGCTACAACAACAAACAATACAAAAACAACGATGGGAATGTAAAGTATAGGAAAGGTAAACAAATCGCTAAAAATAAATACATTGAACAGATAATGTACGCCAGTTAAAATTTTCCCAAGCTTCAGCAAGGCAAACACTGTCCCAGACCACACCAAGACAACAACACACAGTCACTCAATAAGATACAACTGTGGACAATTTAACTATCTTCTTGGTTCTTTCGGTAAAGTCACGTAGAAGGGAAATAATAAAATAATAAAAATAAAACATAATAAAATAATTCTCACGACGTTTCGGCCACAACACAAGCAGCCGTCCTCAGGTGAAGACCAGGTCTGTCGGGGGACGGCTGCTGGCGTTGTGGCCGCAACGTCGTGAGAATGATTTTATTATGTTTTATTTTTATTATTTTATTATTTCCCTTCTACGTGACTTTACCGAAAGAACCAAGAAGATGAATCCCTGCAGTCACGAAAGAAGCTTTAAATCGAAATTTAATTATCGTAAACAGAAGGCGATTGACATTCCGGCGCTGCGGCGCTGCGACCGGCGTAGGGCCTCACCTGCCGCTGTTGCGCAGGGCGACGCAGCGAGCCTCCAGGAGCCGGTAAAAGCGGAGCTTGAAGTCTCCGCGGTGAGGCCTGTCTGGGTCGGCGCGGGGACAGTAGACGTTGACGATGGCGAGGGTCCGCTCTTCCCCGCTCCCCGCCAGCCTGTGGGCGCACACACAGCGCAAGAGCACGCGCACGGAATAAACAACCGCCGCCGTTCGCCACCGAGTGGTGGTGACGTCACCACGGCGCTTCACGTTGCCGTTCGCCACTAAGTGGCGCCGCGGTGGTGAGATATGAACTCCCTCACCTGGTATGCAGGAGGTCGTGGGTTCGATTCCGACCTTTGCATGTTTTCCCCGTGGTAGCGTGAAGTATTCTCCGGGTCCTCCGGTTTATCCCTCCACATTTAGATGCAAGTGTTTAGAGTATTTGGCTGCTTTAAATTTTCACGCGATAAGCCACTTCTGAAAAAGAGCTACATAGCTACGTGGCTCTTACCTGGTAAAATAATAGTTTAAGTGGCAGTGACGTCACCCCTACATCTCACCAGGTACTCATTTGAGGACTGAGTCGACCTAGCTGAGGCCCATGACCGGTTCAGATAATCGTCACTGGTATTGGCTGTGAGCGCAAACTTAATCTGGATTGCCGTGTCCATAGCGCGGCGTGCTAACCGCTGCACTTCCGCTCCCCAAACGCTAACAGACGACGTACCAACACGCGAAGAGCGTTTGGGCTTCACACACGGGGAGATGATCAAATGGTGAGCGTGTGCACCTAGCCTGGCAAGGCCAGAGCAGTCACCCTCCCTGGCCCTTGGTGGCGATAGGTGGGGTAGGAGCGGTGGCGCAGTGGTTAGTGCACCGTGTGAGCGCCTCTCTTCTCCCCACGTCTCCCTCTCCCCTCCACCTTCCCCACCCCCCTCCCCTCTCCCCGATGTCGCGCGGCCGCTCACCGCACGCGGTGCTGCGTCACCACGGCCCTGCCCTCGGCGTCCAGAGCCTGCAACTCGTCGACGGTGAACTCGCTGGTGTCGCCGTAGCAGCCGACGCTGCCGTCGCTGCCGTCGTCCCGGCGGCCGCTCGCCCCTCGCAGGAGGCCAGACAGCCCCTCCTCGGCGGCCAGGGGGGTGGCCACGTCCCTGCAGTACGTGGCCACGCCTGCCCACGCGGCGGGGACACGCCACTTTGTTTAAACCACTGCCGTTGGTGCCAAAATATGCAATTTAAAACACGTGGTGTCTCACGATAACGTCGAAACTCCGTGGAGGTGAGGTGATGCGTTCGGTTGATATGCGGGGCCTAGAGGGATGGTGATGGCATGGAGAGGTCTTCATCCAGCAGCGGATAGGGCATGGCTAAAGAGGATGTGCAAACCAACATTTATATTTGGCTAACTGAATTATTTTGTTTAACCCAGTGATAATGCTACATCCACAAGTGTACTTAATACATTGAAACTATTAAAACATTTTCATTTTACCAGCTTAGGCCCACTGAGCTATATAGTTCATTTTGAGAGGCAACCTAGCCACAAATTATAGCTCAACGACGAGTGTTAACACGTGGAAATGTATCGCAGCCAAATACTCTAAACGCGTGATGTTCATTCTAAATGTGGAGGAGAAAAATCGGAGGACCCGGAGAAAAATCCACGCGACCACAGGGAGAGAGACATGCACCCTCCAAATATATAGGTGTCAGGGTCGGGATCGAACCCACAACTTCCTGTATACCAGGTGAGGTAGTTAACATCCCTCCACTGGGTTGCCGGGATCATAGAGTGGTCGATAACATCGACTCTAGAGGGATGATAGGCCAAGTTAACCCCCCCCAACCAGGATTTGAACTGGAAACTTTCCGATTGGGAGCTGCTCGCTCACCCACCAGTTGACTCGCAATATGTTGAGATGATTCCTAACAGGGGTGAAGCTGTGCCAGAGGTCGCAAACGGGTTTTGATTCCTTACCCGTACCCGTAACCGGCCGCACAAGGGTCGCAAATGGGTACCCGTACCCGGCAGGGTACGGGTACCCGTACGCTACCCGTACCCTACCCGAAATGAGTGACAAACGGTTACTCACCGGTGACTCACGGCCTACCCGTACCCGGCTGCACCAGGGTCGCAAACGGGCACCCGTACCCGGCTGGGTACGGGTAGCCGGGTATCGGGTAGGGTACGGGTATCGGGTACCCGGTTGCGACCTCTGAGCTGTGCTCCCATCTCACCAGAGTAGCCGCTGCGGACCCTTGAGAAGCTGAAGTAGGCATTGTAGCCGTCCACTACGGCCGTGGGTTCGTCCAGAAGGTCCCCTAGAAAAAACACAAAGACGGCCCCTGTAACCTTCGCAGATTGTTGGGGCAAGTGCTGTAAGCGAGCACATTTTAAGGATGGCACGGCACACGACGGGATGGTGTGGCCGGGACCATGCCCTGCTACATTGGTCTCATACTCTTAGGTTTTTTCGGTAAAGTCACGTAGGTAAAAAATAAAATAATAATAGAAATAAAATAATAAATCACGACGTTTCGGAGGCAACACAAGTCTCCGTCATCATGTGGTTCTTTCGGTAAAGTCACGTAGAAGGGAAATAATAAAATAATAATGCAAATTCCTTTGTCAAGGCGCCCTTCCTCCCCTTACCCAGCTTAAATATACGCTGCCAAGCTTGGTGGTGTTCATTCAGACGCTGTCTTTCCGACAGACCTGTTCTTTACCTGAGGATGGCTGCTTGCGTTGTGGCCGAAACGTCGTGAGAATTGTATTTTATTATGTTTTATTTTTATTATTTTATTATTTCCCTTCTACGTGACTTTACCGAAAGAACCAAGAAGATGAATCCCTGCAGTCACCAAAGCTTTAAATCAAAGGTCCAAACTGTATTGATACAGTAAATTTAGCTGTGACGGTCCCACCTGATGACGGAGACTTGTGTTGCCTCCGAAACGTCGTGATTTATTATTTTATTTCTATTTTTTTTTACCTACGTGACTTTACCGAAAAAACCTAAGAGTATGAATCCTTGCAGTCACGAAAGCTTCAAATCTAGAATGCATTGGTCTCCCCAGTGGTGATGGTGACACACCGCAGGATGTACTCATTTAAGGCTGAGTCGACCTACCTCTACCGACAATCGGAGGTGGTTTCAATTCACACCCATGGAGGAGGCCAAGTGGCTCACAAGTCAGAGCGCTGAGAATTTGGGTTCGAATCTGGGTTTCAGCCACTTGTGATTAGACCTGGTCCTCAAGCGAGTTGATGAACCAGGAGGTATGCAGAAGAGAGATTACCAAAGAGATGAGATGCACTCATCAAGAGACACATTTGTTCAGGACACATGGGAAATATATTTTTAAGAGCTCTTAAAAGAAATAATTTGGTGATGTCGCACTGCTAGTGCTAATAATACAAATGCAATACATTCACGTGCTATGAAGGGTCATTGCCCGAAACGTCGCCTATAATAGATTCAGTTTTTTAAGGCCACACACTCGGTGTTATTGATTAACTAGCTTAACTGCGCATCATATGACCCGTTCATATAAATCGAATTTAACAAAAAAGACTAAGATGGAAAGATTGTATTGAAATATATGTATAAAAAAAGTCTCTAAACATCACATTTGGTGTTAATTGACGATCGTTATTCTGTAATGTTGGTGGATTTTTCTGTTTACGCAAAGTCACTTTAAGATGTTTTCTTGTTCATGTTTTTTTGTTTGTTGCGGTTGCACCCAATTCAAGAGCCGAATGGCTCACAGGGCTATACCAAATAAATGAAACTGAAAAACTGAAAACTGAAGAGATAAAAATACCAAAACTGGGTCGCACTTGGTTTTTATCAAAAGCGACATTGAATACATAGCGAGAAAATTGATTACTCCTATAACAAACTAATAATTAGTTACGATGATCAATGTGTCGTGTTTGATTTTTGCAAGCGGTATATGAGACATTCAAACGTAACAACAGATATGGGTAAAACCCGGAGATATACTCGGAAGGGATAACAAATTATATTATTCAGAAGATGTAAGTGTTATTCTGTTGGGGATGTAAATCTAAACAAGGGGATGTCGTCGAGGGTTGGAAATGAACCGCGAAACGCCAAGTCGTGGGGCTGCAGTCAGTCACGTGGTGCTGTGCGTTCAGTCACGTGGTGATGTGCGTTCAGTCACGTGGTGCTGTGCGTTCAGTCACGTGGGGCCGTGCAGTCAGTCACATGGGGTGTTTGCAGCCAATGAAGAGGCGGCCTGGCGCTGTTCCAATCAGTTAAATCAAAAGTTAAACATTTTCGATTTAATAAAAATAAAACATAAAATACAATTCTCACGACGTTTCGGCCACAATGCAAGCAGCCGTCCTCAGGTGAAGAAACGTCGTGAGAATTGTATTTTATTATGTTTTATTTTTATTATTTCCCTTCTACGTGACTTTACCGAAAGAACCAAGAAGATGAAAAGTTAAACAAGCAACTAATACAACTAAAATCCTGCACGTCCCTGCCCCCGCCACACAGCACAAACCTACACAAGCATCACTTTTAAACAAGTTGTGTGCTCAACATTTATTTTAAACGCAGTGTTTATATGTATGCACTGTTTTGAACCGTAGTGTTAATTGGTGAGCGGTGGGGGGGGGGGTCATTTAGTGTAATAATTGTACACTTTTAACAGAACCAGGGGTAGCTTACTATAAATATCGACGCCTATTCTAACAATGCGTACTACAATAGCAACGTTGATAGCAACGTTAGAGGAGTCGTACACCCCTAGCTGCCAGTGCTATTCAGTGGCCTAAAATAAAATGTTTCGCTCCGGATGATCGCTGCAAAGTATGACCTGTGTTTTGATTTAGTGTGCTGATCTTAAAGGTGCATTGAAAAATGTTGATACTCCGACTGATGCTCCTGCTGTTGTGGAGTGACTCATGCAGCCAGCTATGGCTGCAGGGTTTTGTGGTACGTTGTTTATGTCGTTTATTGTGAAAATTCCGTCAGTTCCTATGATCACTGTTTCATTGCTTTATTTTGGTGATTTCGAAAAGTTTACTGGTTTGGCCATGTTTGTGTTGTTGTAGTAGAGTTAGACTGATGGCCTTAATCTAAGTTGTCTTCTTCTTGGTTCTTTCGGTCAAGTCACGTAGAAGGGAAATAATAAAATTATAATAATAAATACTCCGATTATAATTATTTTATTATGTTTTATTTTGTTATTTTATTATTTCCCTTCTACGTGACTTTACCGAAAGAAGATGAATCCCTGCAGTCACGAAAGCTTTAAATCGAAATCTAAGTTGTCTTGTGGTTGTTGTTGTTTGACTTGCATCCCACTGGGATTTCTGCACAGTGTTGGTGTACGGTGTTTTTTCTGCAATATTTAGCTGTCTTTTCTTGGATTTTCTGTTTGCACTTAGTCACATAGTCACTTTAAGATGTTTTTTTGTTTTTTTTTGTTTGTTGCGGTTGCACCCGATTCAAGAGCCGAATGGCTCACCAGGGCTATACCTAATAAATGAACGTTAACAACGTTAACAACAGTCCAACATCTTCTTGGTTCTTTCGGTAAAGTCACGTAGAAGGGAAATAATAAAATAATAAAAATAAAACATAACAAAAATACAATTCTCACGACGTTTCGGCCACAACGCAAGCAGCCATCCTCAGGTGAAGAACAGGTCTGTCGGAAAGACAGCGTCTGAATGAAACACCACCAGGCTTGGAGCGTATATTTAAGCTGGGTTGGATTATGTTTTATTTTTAAATCCTTTATATTAAGTTCACTTGCTTGCTTGCTTGCGCGCTTACGACCGTGCAAATCTTTCGGTCGTTTTTTAACCCACTTCCCGTGATCCAATCGAGCTGACATTTTCCACACAGACTCGTTGTGCGTGACAATTAATGTTCCTGAATTTTTTTTTCCAAAATGGTACACTTTTTAGGACAAAAATATTATATGTAATTACCAATTGCTTAATGGTGCAATGCAATCATCTGACCCATAGGTGGCAGCCATCTCAAGCCAGAGGACGAGAGGACTCTAGCCGCCACGCATATAAAGGATTTATAGTGAAAAACTTAGTTTTTACGGGTTTACTTATTATTATTTTATTACTTCCCTTCTACGTGACTTTACCGAAAGAACCAAGAAGATGAATCCCTGCTGCAGTCACTGAAAGCTTTAAATCGAAACAGTCCAACACTAACACGCAGTGCCGTGTAGAGCCGCGTTCATACTAACTTCCGTACATCCTACGGCGACTCACGACGCTTTAGACGTCAACGCGATCACGACTTCCTTTGCAGTACAATGACAACGACAGCCCTGGCAATTACAATGAGGAGAAGGAGAGGGGGGTGGACCGAAACGTCGGCCTTCACTCACTCGTAACTTTGGTCTCCTGTAAGCAGACAACGTCGGCGTCGAGCGAGTCCAGCAGCGCCTTGAGGCTCACGCGAGAAGCTCTAATCCCGTTGATGTTCCACGTCAGGACGCTCATGTTAATTAATCGCTGCTATTATGTTTTTGTTGCAGCTAATAAATTAAACTTAAACGTTGTGAGAGGGTTGGTGACGTTGGCGGGAAAAGGCCTCGCTCGGCTAAGCGCGCTAGGCCCCATGTGGGGGGTGGGGGGGGGCGGTAACGTCGCTCGTGATTGGTCAGAAATTAACCGCCCCCGCCGCGGCTCTCAGCCAATCGCATCGCGACTTCTCTCTTGGGCCCTCCTCTTAACTCGTTACACGTGTTGGTCCGGGCGAGGGTCAGAGTCCGAAACGTCGCCCAGCTGCGTTGTAGGGTTGTCAACGCAGATTGAAGCTGTACCGGGGGATGTGTGTGTCTCACGTCCCCCCCCCCGCCAACGTTACGTCATGTCATCATGGGACCTCTCTTGCCAGTATCACAATATACGAAGAGGTTTTACCCTTTCTGGCAATTAACAGCTGTTTTAAAACAACAGCAACGACACAGCTCTTGTTTTAAAACAACAACAACAAAACAGCTGTTGTTTTAAAACAACAACACAGCTGTTGTTTTAAAACAACAACAAAACAGCTGTTGTTTTAAAACAACAACAAAACAGCTGTTGTTTTAAAACAACAACAAAACAGCTGTTGTTTTAAAACAACAACAAAACAGCTGTTGTTTTAAAACAACAAAACAGCTGTTGTTTTAAAACAACAAAACAGCTGTTGTTTTAAAACAACAAAACAGCTGTTGTTTTAAAACAACAACACAGCTGTTGTTTTAAAACAACAACAACAAAACAGCTGTTGTTTTAAAACAACAACAAAACTGCTGTTTTTTTTAAAACAACAACAACAAAACAGCTGTTGTTTTAAAACAACAACAAAACAGCTGTTGTTTTAAAACAATAACAATATAGCTGTTAAATCTTGATTTAAAGCTTTCGTGACTGCAGAGATTCATATTCTTGGTTCTTTCTGTAAAGTCACGTAGAAGAAAAATAATAAAATAATGCAAACATGAAACAATAGGGAAATAATGAAATAATACAAATATTAAACAATGGTTTTATATTTGTATTATTTTAACAATAGTTTTTATTTGTATGAATGTATTATTTCCCTTCTACGTGACTTTACCGAAAGAACCAAGAACATAATATAGCTGTTGTTTTAAAACAACAAAACAACTTCTGTTTTAAAAACAGCTGTTTTATTGCCAGAAAGGGAAAACCCTATTCTTATATTACGTAATGCCATTTAATGGTACAATACTGTTAAACTCGTCCACAATATCAATTCACTGTTTAATTGTGTTTTGGTGGAAGGGAATAGCATTCCTTAAAATCAACTGACGTATACATTACGTGCATTCATTACAAGTCAAAAAACATCCTTAAATATCCTCTATTAAAATATTCCGGGATGCCTTCAATTTTCGCCAGGAGATCGATCCGTGACGGTTGGCAACCTCGATTGTGTACATTGTCTAGATCTGAAGTTTTCGTGACTGCAATGATCGATACTCTTTGGTTCTTTCGGTAAAGTCACGTGGGTATAAAATAAATATGGCATTTTATTTATTTATTATTTTATACCTACGTGACTTTACCGAAAGAACCAAAGAGTATGGATCATTTTGTATACTGTCATGTCTCCTGCACAGCTGTCAATCCCCATACGGTTTAGCAGTATTTTTGTGCAGGGAAATTGAGTTTTCAGGTCCGTACGGCGTACAGCCGTTTCAATACGGGCAACAGCAAAAAAAAATGTGTCTCTTTGTTTGTGTTTCTCCCTTGTGATGGGACTTTGTAGGATTAACTTTGAGATTTTTAAGGGCACGGGGTGACCAATAAGGTCTGAGTTGGTCTCGAACAATGTAAAGGCACTGATAAGGGGTATGGTTCTAGATTTGAAGCTTTCGTGACTGCAAGGATTCATATTCTTAGATTTTTTTCGGTAAAGTCACGTAGGTAAAAATTTAAAATTAATAAAAGTAAAATAAAATAAAATCTTCTATTTTTATTTTACTTTTATTAATTTTATTTTTTTACCCACGTGACTTTACCGAAAAAAACCTAAACATAAGGGGTATGGTGTCACTCGACATCCTTACAAACGCGATTTTGCGTCTCCGGCGATATCCTGCATGTAACATCATACTCACGCCACATGTATTCGAAAGGGGGAGAAAAAAAAGTTTGCTGGCCGAGTTCCTGCCTGGATTCCTGCCTGGCTGGCTGGCGTGGATGACGTCACCTGCATCCCACAGCGTTGAGCCGGGTGCGGGAGCCGTGATGACGTCACGCGCCTAATCCATAATAAAAGTTTATTTTTCTTGGGTTAGATCGCGTCGATATAAATGCGTCGTTAAACCCACCACCACCCGACACAGCCGATCAGTAAGGTTTGTCACGCGAACACAACGTGGCAATTAGTTACTAGCTCAGCACACCGGTTGTGTGTTGGAGAGTAAACCCACTACGACATTTACAATTCGAGTTCCGTGACATTCCGCCGGTGATAACAACAACAACAATCAGCAGCATCAGGCGATGAACCAGAATTCCTCCTCCTGTATCGGTCTTAGATAGAGAAGCAGAGGTGATACTCGTACCCCACCACCCCACCACCACACCCACCCCACTAACTACACCACCACCCACCCACTCCCACCCACCACCACACCCACCAACCACATCCACCACCCACCCCCTCCACCCCACCACCCACCCACCAACCACACCAACACCCACCCCCTCTAACCCACCACCCACCAACTACACCACCACCCACCCACTCACCCACTCACTCACCCACCTACTCACTCACCCACTGACTCACTCACTATTCACTCACCCACCCACTCACTCACCTACTCACCCACCCATCCACTCATCCACTCACTCACCTATTCACTCAACCACCCACCCACTCAACCACCCACTCAACCACCCACTCAACCACCCACTCAACCACCCACTCAACCACCCACTCAACCACCCACTCAACCACCCACTCAACCACCCACTCGCTCGCCCACCCACCACACTGCAGAGGTCACCTCACTTCTCTCCGCTTCTCTCCTCGCACTGTGGAATTTCTTTATCCCATAATCATCATCATCGTCGTGGTCGTCTCTTTCTCCACCAAACCTCTCAGAATATTATCTAAAACAGAGCCAAAAAAATCTGAAGCAACATTTACAAATTAGCAAACGTTCTAACCGCCCCGTATGTAACTCAGCAACGAACGTGGTCACGACGGAAAGTAGAGTAGAAGTCACCTTACCGCTTGTGCCCAATGCGACACGCCACGTCGCGCTGGGCGCTCATAATTGATTCCTCGATTTTCATTTGGCCCGGGCCGGCGGAAACAAGCGATGGCTCCTAAATTAATGACACGACGCGTTAGGCGCGTGCGGTTCCACGCGGGTAGCCGCGTACGTCACAGTGCATCGCCCCCCCTCCCCCCTGTTCCTCACCTGCGAGACGCCTCTAATTGAATGATTAATAGATTCCACCCGCCCCACCCCCACCCCCTCCTTTCCCTCCACCCATCTCTGTCCACGTACCCTTGACCCTTGTGCAATGCCGGGTTCCACGCCTGAGCGATCAGTTGCACAACTTTTGGTTGCATGCACGCCAGCCGAATTGCTCGCACGTGAACGTCTGGGCAACCGGTTGCGAGCAGTCGCGCAACCGGTTGCGAGCAATCGCGCAACCGGTTTGCGAGAAGTCGCGCAACTAGTTGCGAGCAGGCGCGCAACCGATTGCGAGCAATCGTGCAACCGGTTTGCGAGCAATCGGGCAACCGGTTGCGATCGCGCGTGCCCCGTGTGTGTGTGTGTGTGCAATTGTGGTGGTTCATTGCGTCCCTTCCGACAAGCAAGCCAGTATCAGGACTCAAGGTAAGTGAAAGTGAAATTGATATTTTTTCTCGATTCATGTTACTTTATTTTGTTTGTTTTTACCATACAGTTACATGCAGAGTTACATGCAAATGTACAATATTTCTTCTTATTTATGAGTTTAACAATTCTTCCCTTTTTTGTTGAACCGTAACACATTTCATAACACTCACCATATGAGCATCTAAATAGAGTGCATTACTGTTCCGACTGTAATGGTTCGATAGAGGCGCACACACTCTCGTATAGAGGCAACACTATTTATGAACACAACTGTTAACGCACTAGACATAAGGTGGTGACCAGCGACCTATCCTCGCTAACACCGACACTCTGACCACAATACCTGCAGTCGGAGTGCAAACAAAAAACATAACTCTGATAATGTATGCACTGTCCCTGAAATGTATCGGTCCACACCCGAGACAGCTTTTCTTAGAGCCGAGTCTCACATGGTGTTGGACCAGATGACGCCAAAAGGTGCACAACTCAAAGACAATGCACCATCAGAGTATGAGAGCTCGGGGTAAGCATTTACACCATTGGAACCTCATTTGCCAGTAAAACATATGATAATTGTTTTTTTACCCGTTCATCTGGCAACAAAACTGACACCTTTTTTTACAAGGAGTCATGTTTGCATAGACCACAATACCTGCAGTCGGAATGCAAACAAAAAACATAACTCTGATAATGTATGCACTGTCCTTGAAATTGATTGGTCCACACCCGAGACAGCTTTCTTTAGAGCCTAGTCTCACATGGTGTTGGACCAGATGAAGTGTCTCCATGAGGCGTCTTCATCCCGGACCCGAGCAGCCCCGCACGCGGTGCGGGCCCCTTTATATGCGCCTCGGCCACGTCCAGGCCACGCCCAGGACACGCCCACCTTCTCGAACCCTCGAGAAAGCTCTGCTCCTGGCCACGTGACCCCCAAGGTCCCCCCTGGGGCCCCCGGCCCCCACCTTGATCCGGTCACGTGTCCGACTGGGTTCACACTGCCTGACACAACCACCGTGACACTGACTAACAGCCTCCACACTCCCGGACCCGGCCGTGACGTCATTCATACATGCCCAACATAGTGACGTCATGTGTGTGTACAGACTCAACACGTAGTGACTTACGAACCGTTCGACTTACGAACGGGCCTCAGGATATTAACAAGCACTGCTTTCTCCCTATGTTCCGTTTTTAATTGATAAAAGCTACCAAACTGCCTCTACTTGATTATTGTGAC